TACTGCACTGCTGTAGTACCTGGTACTGGTGTACGTTGTCCTTCGATTTGTTTTTTTTTTTGCGGGAATATATAGACTATGTGTTTGTTTTTCGCCCCCCGTCTTGCTGCACCCCCTGGGGTGTGGTGCAGGGCGGGGGATGCCTGGTCGGCGGGAACCCGGCACGGAACCCTCCGGCGTTGTAGGCGGGTGTGGGAAGCGTTCCCCGTTCTCCTTTTATTTTATTTTGATCGGTCTCCTCGACGCTCTTTCTCGTTTGGTGCGGTAGCTGGTCTTTCTTTCTATCATTTTGTTTCTCTTCCGAGTGGTTTTTGTACCCTATTTTTTTCTGTTTCTTCGTGGGGTCGTGTATGCCGGGTTTTGAGACCACGGGCTCCCAATCTTTCTTTTTTAGAGCTAATGTGAGAAACAACAAACAACAACAACCACTCCAGAGATCTAGACAACAGCAAAACCTAGCGTACCCCTACCGACCCAACCAGTAGGGGCACACATGCCTTGTGCGGCTGGTGAGCTGTGCCAACTGCCAGACCAGACGCCAGTAGCCCCTCACGGCCACCAATGTCACGGAGGGTGTGGCGGCAGACTGCACGGACTGTGTGGGGAACAAACCAAGATGCGGAGTACGAAACCGCCCGCATCTGCTTTGCATGCATTGCCTCCAAGCAAAAGGGTAGTAATGCCTCGACAGCTGGCAAGGGCAAGCGCAAAGGGTCAGCCACGGAGAGCGGAGACACGGCAAGACCATAAAAACGAACCCAGCCAACCACCCGGACACGACTGGTTCGCGCAAGCGGATGGACATCGGCACCAAGATGGAGATCCTCCGTCTGCTGGACAAGGGCACGCGGACGCAGAAGAAGTCGATCGCAGAGTAGTTCGACTGCGGGGAGCATACGGTGCGTACCGTCAAGGCCGAGCGGGCGAAGATAGAGAATCAGGCCGCCAAAACTCGCAGCAGCGCCACCACCAGGAAGAACCTTCGGGCGGGGGATTTCCCAGAGGTATGCTCCTGTTTTTTTTTTTTCAGCCTGCCGTTTGTACCATCGGTGTTGATTTTTTTTATTTTCAGCCTGCCGTTTGTACCACTCGGTATATTTCGCACTTTCAAGAAAAATCGCAGTGCTTGATGTGTGCAAATGGCGACCCCCCCCAAAGCAGTCTGGATATGCACTGAGATTGTGCTTTGCGCGGTCAAGTGCATTGGAAGCATCACGAACATTTTACATCTGATGCACCACCCACACACAACAAAAAAGGCGCACACATTTTTAAGTACATTTTTTTTCCACTGCTCGTCTTAGGGGTATTATTATCAGGCCGAAAAAATACGTATTCGGCTACGAAACCATATTTTCTTGAAATATATGGAGGCGTCCCTCTACGTTTTCGTAAAAAGAGCGAAGCGTATTTTTTCTGGGCTTGCTCCTTTTACGTTTCGGTGAAAAATTTCCCGCTTTTTTCGGCGACCGGAGCAGACACCGGT